TACTGTCCTCTGACTAGAGGGTAAGTCCGCTAAGCAAGAGCTGTGTATATTATGCTTGCAGACCAGCCCACGTAGTTCTGATGCGCCACTTGGTGTGAAGGTGAGGTGGCCCAGCTCAGCTGTAGAGAAAGAGGGAGAAAGTGCTGAGGTTTCAGGCTGCTCCCCAAGCGAGGGGACCCGCACTGACTGAGTGGAAGATGAAGCTTTGTAGGGTAGATTCTTAGGTCCTAAGTTACATGCTAGGTTTCAGTACATATCTATTGAGGAGCCTGTTGGGCTCATGGAAGGTGTGGGAGACGTTATTTTCATCATTTATTTATGTGATTCAAATACTTGATTTAGACCAGTGGTTCTCAGCTTGTCACATATCAGATATCCTGCATATCAGATACTTAGATCATGATCCATAACAGTAGCAAAATTACAATTAATAAATAGTAATGAAATAATTTCATGATTGGGGGTCACCAGAACATAAGGAACTGTATTAAAGGGGTGGGGAACCACTGATTTACGGACTGGGGATATGGCTTAGTTGGCAAAGTTCTTTCCATGCAAGCATGAGGGCCTGAGCTCAGATTCCCAGCATGAATATAAAAAGTTCTGTGTAGCATTGTGTGTTTATAATCCCATTCCTGGGAAGGCAGAGAGAGACAAAAGGATCCCTGGGGTGAGAGTAGCCCGGCTAGCAAGTTGGTGAGTTCTAAGTTCAGTGAGGGGCTGTCTCAAGAGATTAAGTGGAAGAACTGGAGAGATGGCTGAATGGATAAAGGATGTAAGAACGAAAACCTGAATTTGAATCCCTGGAACTAAATCTAGGTGTGATGTTCATATAAAATCCCAGTTCTTTTGCAGTGAAGCAGGAGAAGAGTTCCCTGTTTGCAGACCAGCTAGCCAGCTCCGTGCAGAGGTGAACTGTCTCAGGGTGGTTGTCCTCTGCCTCTGCGTGTGCAGCTCCGTGCAGAGGTGAACTGTCTCAGGGTGGTCCTCTGCCTCTGCGTGTGCAGCTCTGTGCAGAGGTGAACTGTCTCAGGGTGGATGTCCTCTGCCTCTGTGTGTGCAGCTCCGTGCAGAGGTGAACTGTCTCAGGGTGGTTGTCCTCTGCCTCTGTGTGTGCAGCTCCGTGCAGAGGTGAACTGTCTCAGGGTGATCCTCTGCCTCTGCGTGTGCACCCACACTCACTGCATCACACACAGTATGATGTGGGGAGCAGTTGAAGACTCTGGCCTATACCAAGTCCTCTGCACACACACCTGCATACACGTGAACAAGTACACAAAAATACAAAAGCCAAATACTTGCTCTGATTAGAAAATCATTTGTGTCTGTATGCTTTTTGGTAACGTTGTCTGCTTTGTTAACGTTCTCAGCCTTTGGGGTTTATGTGTATTGAAATGCTGGATTCGTGTATAGTGGAACACCACACTGCCGTGAGGATGAAGTACCTACAAATGCACAACAGTAGGTGAAGCCAATCCCAAGACTCATCCATGGGCATAGTAATAGGCCAGCCAAACTTTTTTTCAAGTCAGGAGAACAGTTTTCTTGATAATAGGGGGTGATGGAAGAAGGAATCCTTCTGATATGGTCACTAGATTCACAGGTGAATACCCTCCGTCAAAACTGTGTGTACATCATAACTATATTCTGTGTATGTTATACCTAATAAAAAATTTTAAAAGGAACTTTTCTGTAGACAAATGCATGATACTTATAGTTCATTTGTATTTCCTATTGATTTTTCTCTGTTCTTGCTTGATTTTGTTATTAGCTGAGACCTTATTACTTGTACTGCTTTTGAAAACTGTTTCTTTGCCCTTATTCATGCAAAGTGAATGAGGGTATCTTCGCTTCCAGCTGCCTCCTGTGGTGCATTCCAAGCTGCTAGAAAAGGACAGAGGCCATGCAGCAGCACTAGGGTTGCTTTCCAGCAGATGCAACTAAGCTTGAGACCCAACAAAAAAAGAGGGAAAGCCTTGCGAACGAGATGAGGCTGCGGATGGGTTGAGATGGTCAGCCCAGAGTGGGTTCTTGGGGACAGAGAGGAGAGCTGGCCACTGGTCAGAGAGCCATGTCTGTGATGACTGCATGTCCCACAAAAGCCAGTGCACCTGGGTGTTTTGCTCACATGCCCTGAAATCATCACTCAATTTTAAATTGACATCCAAAGGTTTTCAAATCAAATTTCAATTTATTTTTGTAAAAGGAGTGAAAATATATTTTACTTACAAAATATATTTTACTTGTAAAAGGAGTGACAAATACTGAATATTTTACACACTGAAAGCGAGTATGGCTAAGTCTAGCTGGTACCTCATGGTGGGGTCTGATGGTAGATACTGAGTATCTTGCAAATGCAAGCACAATGAAGTGAAGGAAATTTTAAATCTCTAGTTTATCTGGAGTGTTTTGTTAACTCTGTAGAATATTCCAGCTTAAAGATTCAGCTGCCCTTGTCTGACAGCCCCTGGGGATCCTAGTTTGTAGCCCCTTGGTTCACACTCCTAAGATAGTTTCTAATGGCCGATCTCCTCTGTTAGGATTGATCACTGGTGATAAATCACACCTCCAAACAGGCACTAGTGGATCTCAGGTTTCAGGGTACACAGGACTCTAAGAGCCCATGTGAGCAATGAGAGTCTGAAACTCTTTTCCCCAAAGTTGCCTATGAACGTTTATTTCCTGGAAAACCTTTGAAGTTTGAAGAGTGCTTTTATATATTTGCATAAGCAGACAAATTAAACCCTGCTGGCCTCTGGCTTCCATGTAAACAGTTAAGGGTGAGATTTGTTTTTAATGGAAACTGAGGCAGTCTTGTTAACATAAGCAATTTCAACTGAGAAAGAGGCAACTGAAAGTTAAACTATTGGAGCATAAAGTCTGTTCGTATGCTTGAGCTTTGGAAATGTCATCTCTCCACCATGCCTGTGCACATAATGAAATTTGGAAATTTGTCCTAGAATTCTCATTTAAAACTAACATGGTTATTTATAGATAGATACACAGTAATATATGGCAATGCTTTATTTAAAAGGTAGTTTGTTTTATGAATAAACTCCAGTATATTAAGAACTTTCCATTATTGGGTATAGTAATTACAAAGGCTTCCACTGAGCAGTCATACAAATTAATCTGAAATTTTTTCTATATAGATACTTTCAATAAACAAAATGCTATTGCCTTATACCCAAGAGACTTAAGTTGTATTTTTTGTTATTTTAAATGAACTTCCATGTTTCCCTACCTACTCCGCTGCGTAGCAGTAGGTAGTCTGCTTTTCTGTTGTATAATTCTGTTTTGGGTTTCTGGGTTTGTCCAGAGCACCTCTGACATGCAGAGTGGGTGTCTTTTAAACCAAGTGTTTTTATTAGTCATGTTAAGTTAAACTAAATGTTACTGAAATGAAACCACTTAGTGTTTCTTAACTTCTTTTTAAATGGGCAAAATGAACTTTCCTATATAGGACACAGCATAGAATTTGGCTTTTCTGAGTCAAGATAGGCTTTGAACCTGAGACCCCTGCCTCCTGAGGACCTTCCTAAGGAGCAGGAATTACAGGCCTGAGCCACTAGAATTTTGTTTATCTGGGAATGCTTTTGAGTCTCATCCTGAGCATAGAATACTGGTTAAAATGTGGATTCATAGGCTTACAGACAGGTAGCCTGTATTTGGCCATGTATCGAAAGTCTGACTTGCAGTAAGTGTGAGGCCTGCTCCCTTGGAGCCGAACTGCTTAGTGGATGATCCAGAGTTTATACTGCAAGTCCTTCACGCAGAAGGTAAATAATAAATCAAAAAAGCAAACTGAATCAAGATAGGCCCTTTCTTTCACCTCAGTTATAAAGTTCATGTTACCATGAAGTTTAGTAGTCCTGGTTTTCCTTTAAAATACCAGATTGATTCTGATCACTTAATTGCATACAAACTGTTTTGTTATCCACAAAGAATACTTATAAATTGCATTGACCTGATTTCCTATAGAAAGGGAATGAGATGAACTGCCATCACACGTATTTAGCCCTCTCTAAATAAACTCCCAGTGGTGTGTTAGAGTGACAAATGCAGCCAGTGGAACCAGTGCCACCTCCAGTTTCACAAATGAAGTGATTTCACCAGCTGGGGAGAGGACCCCTTACATGCTACATAGGACGATGAGTACATTTCTGCCCCTCAAACTTTTTTTTTGTTTTGTTTTGTTTTGTTTATTTTTATTTATTTATTAAGGATTTCTGCCTCCTCCCCGCAACCGCTTCCCATTTCCCTCCCCCTCCCCCGATCAAGTCCCCCTCCCTCATCTGCTCTAAGAGCAATCAGGGTTCCCTGACCTGTGGGAAGCCCAAGGACCGCCCACCTCTATCCAGGTCTCCTAAGGTGAGCGTCCAAACTTTTGCTCAAACAAAAAGATGACCTTCAGCCTCACCTTTTCCACAAACCTTCACTCACTAAGCTTTGTGCCAGGACTCAGAGCTAGCAAGGTAGCTCCAGAGGATAAAAGTGTTTGCAGTGCAAGCCTGAGACCCTGAGTTCAATTCCTGGAGCTGTGTAAAGATGGAAGGATTTGCACCTACACTCACACACATCACATACACATGCATACCACAATAATAACACAATTTAACATTTTTTATATTTTTTATTGATTTTTTTATTAAGCCCTACATTTTTCTCTGCTCCCCTCCCTGCCTGTCCCCTCCCTCTCTCAAGGTCCCCATGCTCCCAGTTTACTCAGAAGATCTAGTCTTTTTCTACTTCCCAAGTTTAACATTTTAAAAAATAAGTTCTCTCTCATTGTCATGGGCCATATTTTATCCAGTAAATTTGTGAGACTGAATTTGGCTTCAATGGTGCAACAACCCTTTCAATACTATATCACTGTCCTCTCAAAATGGATCCATCGTTCCCATTTCATTATGAAAGGAATCTTTATTTCAGAGTAGCAAGTGCATTGTCTGAACTCATCAACACCCTCTCTGTCCCTCCCCCTCCCCCATTTGTTGCAGACCAGGATGAAAGAGCAGCTGAGCTCAGCAGGGAGCAGAATGAGAAAACCATCCGGAGCACACAGACTGCGCTCCGCAATTTCCGGGAGTTCCTCATCTCCAAGTACCCTTCCGAAACCAGAGAGATCTATGTCATCCCTTGCAAGGAGCTAGATGCCTACCTTGCCTCCTTCTTCGTGGATGCCAGGCAGAAGGATGGGTCCGAGTATGAACCCAACAGCTTGGCGAATTACCAGTGTGGGCTGGAACGGTACCTGAAAGAGCACAGGTATGGCTACAGCATCACCAGAGATAAGGAGTTCAAGCGGTCCCAGGAAGCCCTCAAACAGAAGCAGATTGAGCTCCGCTGCAAAGGAAAGGGAAACAAGCCTCACAAGTCCATGAAACTCACGTTTGCCGACGAGCTCATATTGCGGAAGAGGGGACTGCTGAGCAGGTATAACCCCGAAGGTCTGCTCAACCTTGTCTGGCTCAACAATACAAAAGCCTTTGGGCATTGCACAGGTTTCCATGGATCCACCTTGAAATGGGGCGATATCCGGCTCCGCGTCACAGAAACCGGGCTCGAGTATTTGGAATGGATGGGTCAGGACACCGGTGATCTAAATGCCAAAACCAAGAGAGGAGGGACAGACTCACGAGTTTATGCCACCCAGCATGCCCCACAGACCTGCCCGGTGCAGGACTATAAGGAGTATGCCCAGCGGCGGCCCCCTGCAATGCGCTATGAGGATGCCCCCTTCTACTTGTCTATCAAGCCAGTTGTGAACTTGGCAGCTCTGCACTGGTACAATTGCCAGGCCCTTGGCAAGAACAAGCTAGCCAAGATGGTGAAGACCATGTGCGAGAAGGGCAACATCCCCGGCAGGAAAACCAACTTCAGTGTCTACCAGAGCTGTAGCACCTTGTCCGAGGCCCAGAGCAACCAGCTGGTGCTCATCTGCAACAACTTGAGCCAGCAGGCTGCCCAGTCGGTGGCTGGCCACTCCACCAACGGCAATTTCATTGTCTCCTCTTATGACTCTTCCCCAGACACAGCTTGACCAGGTGGCTTGCTCAAGACCTCACTTCACTTTGGTGTCCGTGTCCCATGAAACCGCCATTGTATACTGCATTCTGCTGTCTTTCACGTGCCCTCAGTGTTAACTTTATAAAATGCAAATCTATATTTTTTTCTTTTTACAGATAAGCCAATGGCAATAGTTTGGTATCACTAACAGTATTTATAGGCTTGAGACAAATAAGTGTGCTTGTGGTTGATTTCATATAATTGCTGTTACAGACTTGGCAAAACCATAGTGGTTCTCAGGCAACAGTAGAGGAAGAGTTCCGTTCTTAAAGACAGTCAGAAAGGAAACCGAGAGTCATTCAACACTCTGTTCTTACTCCTTGTCCTTGCCTGCTTCTGCTTTTAATCTCCTTCATAGATGAATTTATTTTTTTAATTTTTAAAAATTCTTTATGAATCTGACGCAGAATGTTGCTGAGCCAGAGCAGATCCTGAAAAGGGGTATCATAAGCGCAACACCAAGCTATTTACATACATTTTTACTATAGAGTTTTAGCTCCTGAACCTCCTTTCCACCATATATGGAAATCCCAATGCTTAAAGTATTTTTCTTTGGGGGGTGGTGGAAGGAGAATTAAAGGTGCCATTCTTTTTTTGCAAGATGTCTCATTTTTAAATAATATGCAAAGTCTGATACTGGGGGATGGGAGGAGACAGTTACATAGGCCATTTTTAGTGGTGTGATTGGACCTGCATAAAATTTTCTTTTTCCCTAAGTCAGTGTAAATGAGTTTGATCATCAGATATACATGAAATTTTAAACTTTCAATAATTTTGAAAATATTTCCAAGTGTTAGATTGTATATCAGCATAAAAGAGAAGGTAGAAAATGAGGCCCCACTAACCATGTGGCTGCATTGCTGGAGACAACCTGCAGTTCTCTGTTCCAGTTCCTCAGCATTACAGCCAGCTCTTCTCCCTAGGGAGCCGACACCCATTTTCAATCACAGTATTTTGTTACCAGACTTAGCAGAATTCAAGGCATTCTTGAGTTTCTTCTCAACTAATAGAAGTGTATTTATCTGTGGTATTCTGTAGGTAGAATAATTTTGTGGTGTTTGCTCCAGTCTTTGTTTTCAGGTCTTGAAAACTAGTAAATTATTAGTTAAAACAGGTCAGAATTCAAATGAATTTAGACATTTGAGCCACAATATGACTGAATTGGGTTCCTTCCCATCCTGTGCAAACAGTAATAACTAAGAACTCTAAAAACCATCATTGCTTTGTCACAACCGAGCACCCTGTTGGGGAGGGGTTTATTCTTCAATCCAACCTTATAACTCACATTAACTTGGAAGGTAGGTCGTATTTTATTATCGTCTGATACAAAAGGAGAAACATTTTTATCAGGGAGCCAAGCTTTCCCATGGCTAGGTGGCTCTTTGCATCAATACATAGGAGGCACATAGGCCTTTCTTCTAGGCTGTGATCTGTAGTGTAGAAGTGGCCGGTCTGCTGGGGTGTTGGTGGGTAGAAGGAACATCATGAGCTTGTCCTTCCGAGAGAAGCATTGTTAAGAAAAGATGTATATATTTCTATACAAGTATTATCTAAATCCTCTCAGCAACCTTAAAAAGAAAATCAAGTTATCCTCATTTTATGGTGAAATAATAAGTCAGTTAGATGAAGAAAGAGTCTGTCTTCTCACCGCAGGCTTTTTGTATGAGCTAGTTGTTGGTTTGGATGGTTTGAGCTAGAAATGGGAACAGCATCTTTCTATTGCCCACGGCTCTCTATCTGGTTTAAAGGAATGCTGGGATGTTTCCATGGTTGCACACTGTCCTCTACCCCACATCCCCATTGCCTCTGCAAACCCGCCCCACTCTTGGAGGCAGACCCAACCTAAAGGAACTTTTTTAAAGATTGTTTGTTTTTATGTGGCATACCTGTCATTTTTTATCATCATAATTTTTAGGTCCTCAGTCATGTTGGGAACAGAGTTGATTTTGAGAAAAGCAAAGCAAAGCCTGCCACTGCCCTGAGAGGACAGAACTAGGGAACTCTGTATCCCTGCTGGTGTTCTGGAGTACTGACACAAGCATCTGCCCTGCCTAGTCTCATCAGACAATTACATCAGTCATGTGGATTACTTTTATTTACTTATGTTTTGCTGCATAACTAACCAGATAGGAACACTGTGATATTTAGATTAAAACAACATTTCGAAAAATGGCTTACTAGAAGAAGCATAGTCAATTTAGAGCTTCTTTAATTAAGTTATAAAAAGTTCATGACTACCTCTAAATTTTGTATTTTTATCTAGACAATACTGAGGACACACCACTGCCAGATGCCATTTTTATTACTTGGAATTTCAACTTAGAAAACTTACTCCACTCTGTGGCAGAGGTGCACACCAACATTTATCATGCTTACCAGGGCTAATGAATGTTTCATACATAATATGTGTCCACTATTAAATATTTATCTTAAAATTTCCCTGTTCATTCATTTTTCTCTTAAGTTATTGTGTTGTGTTCTATTTACTACAGGGCTTCACCACATAGCCTATCCTAACCCTCGTCCCTCCACATCCGGAGTGCAGGAAAGCAGCACTGTACAGAGTTCATTTCCCTAAATTAAAGTATTACCTGAACTACAATATATTGCCTGCATCTTTTCTGGTGTAGACTAAGTCTCTGGTTTTTTAGTTAGGTTTTTATTACTGCAAACTCTGGCATTAACTAACATCCAGAGCCATAATATCAGTGAATCTACTGAGATGAAAATTTATAACTACATAGGCAAATATTTATTGAATATCAAGTTGATGGGAAGTCTATAAAGATGTATAAAATTATTCCTCTTCTCAAAGAAAATGTAAAGACGCTGTAATAAAAGTTCTACTTTTGAGAGCCCAGCACCCTCGAATCTCCGTGCTGACCTATTCCACATTGCCTTTCACACTTCGTACTCCTGCCGTTACTGAAGTCTTGAATATTCCAGTTTGCTGCAGAGTGTATCCCACTTCTTGGAGAATTTTTTTAATTACTTTTATTTTCTGTGCATTGGTGTTTCGTATATCTGTGTGAGGATGTCGTGTCCCCTAGAACTGAACTTACAGACAGCTCTTAACCACTGAGCCATCTCTGTGATTTGTTTCCTAAGAGATGTCACTCAGCTTGTCCCATTTATATTTAGTTTTCAACTATAAGTGGGGAGGCAAACTAACCCAAATCTGTAAGTACTGGACTCCAGTTGCAGACCATAGACCAAAGGGAATTGTTGTTTTCGTGGGCGTTCTCCTTTAAATCCAACTTTACAACTGGATCCATGCTACTGGTTTGAGATACAGTTCGTACTATGAAACATACCTTTAGTCAAAGGATTGAAATTTTATCAACATAATTAAGATTTTCTTAAGTGAATTTATTTAGTGGTTTAAAAAAAAGGGGGGCTAGGTTCTGAAGAACCTGAAGCCGCTGCTAGCTCTACAAAGACCACAAAGAAAAAGAAAAAGTCCCAGAAAGCATCCCAAGAGGATTAAAATGGACATGCTTGGTGGGAGGGGCATACCTTTAAGGTGACAGTTCCTACCCATGATTAACCCCAATAAAAACACACAAAAAAAATAAATAAAAAATAAAGGAAAGGTAAAGTAGTAGCAGGGAGGTTAGAAATGCAAGGTGGGTTTCTTGTCTTATCTTGACTTTCCTTCTGAAGAGGAAGCTAAGCATAAGAAATTTCACAGACGGAATTTGCAAATTATATTTATCAGAATCAGTGGAGACAATGTCAAATTTTAAGGGTTTTTTTTTTAAGAGTGCAGTGTAATTACTTGTCTTTTTATGAAATGTCTGTCTTGGTATGACACTGGAATTAGCATTTTTACAGTTTTGCATTTATTTCAGTGGGAACTTTGAAGAAGTTTACTCGTTTGTGGTAGGTAGAATTAGGAAGGCATCAGTGATGTAGAACCCTAACAGTTATTGTGCATACAGTGTTTTAGTGGCTGTTGATTCTCTGTGTTGTTACATTTTATAACTCATATACCTACAATACTTTACTATTAATT